AAAAGTTTTAAAGTTAAAATTTATAAAATTATTTTTTTAATCTAATTATATAATATTTTTGCTTTTACAGGAAACATTAGTATGTAGTGGTTAAGGTTGTTATATTTATTTTTTTGTGAAAAATAAACCGAACATAAACCTATTTTAGGGATGAAATATTATTAAAAAATATATAATTTTACCTAAAGTTAGGTATAAGAGAAATTTTCAATGATGTTGTAACTGAGAAAGCAAAATATTGTGAAGACAGGGAATTGAATCACATGCAAGTCATTTTCCTACTGTGTGATAAAGTGACACTATTTTTATTTTATTTTTACACTTTCACTTGAACCTAATAACCTAACCCTTTTTTTTTTTTCTTTTGTTCTTTACGAACAAAGAAACGTGCAAGCTATAGCTATATTATAGCGTGTAGCTATTTGGTTTCTCCTTTGTTTTTCCAACAAGAAAGCAACATCGAAGGTACATATAACATGCGTGTCACCTTTCTCAATGCTACAAATAGGTCGAAATGGTTACAATATGCATTGACGAAGCGAAGAGAAAAACAAAACAAAAAAAAGGATTTTGAGACCAACTTTTTTTTTAAATTGTTTGGTGGTGTTTCCTAGTAATCCACACCTGTCAATTTTAGATAAACTTACAGGAAAAATACCCACTTTTTGTTTGCAAAATATCTTAAACCTTTTACAATGTGATTATTTTGACCTAAGTGAATATTGTAAAATCAGCTTTTAATAATAATTAAATAACTTGAAGTTTATTTGAACAAACTTTTCTACTAGAATTAAAAAAACAATTATAAGCTCAAAGCAAAATCCCAACTCAACTTTCTTTGTATAATTTAGATGTTATAATAAAATTATTATTATTTTTATTAACCATAATGAACATATTATTAATAGAATGTTTATAAATAATGGATTAATGTTAATTTATAAAAGAGATAAATTAAATAGTTAATCTAACAATAGTCTACTTTTATAACATTAATCAATTAGAAAGGTAGATAAATTTCAAGACTTGAATACAATTATGGTCAACATACACCAATAAAGGGACAAGGAAACATAAACAAACAATGATAGACATATATATTATCATACATGCCAATAAACCAATATTTCATTTTAAATTATGAGGGAAAGGAAAATTTAAGTTAAGATAACATGCAACTCCAAAAAAAAAAAATGAATTTTTTCACAATTAGACCAACCTTTACTAGATTATATAGGTACTAAGATAAACAATTATGCATGATAAATTCATAAAACTAAGATAAACAATTATGCATTAAAAAAGAAGATACAAATTTGAACCCATGTCACAGAGTCTATACAAATTTATGTACATTGGTCAGATAATTGTCAACTAGACTCTTAATAACAAGTTTATACTACAGAAATACTTATTTATCAAGGTTAAAAAAGTATATAAAAAAGGAAAGCACCATAAAATGGTAAAAAAGTGGCTTATATATTATTTTTATTCATAAACTTTATAGGAATAAATATCAATGTTAACACATAAATCAAGATTAGTCTTACAAAATTAACTTATATAATGAGATTCATATTTTATTTTTATATTGTAATGGTATGATATTTTGAGTAAAATTCAATTACACTCTTTATATTAACCATACGTGATCTAATATTAATTTGATGATAAATGATTTATTTCAATAACAATTAATAAATAATGTTATAAATCTCGTGTCGAGTTGAAAAAAAATTATATACACTATTTTTTTTAATATATTGAGTTGTATTTTAAAAATAAATTATAATAGACAAAATCTCTAACCAATAATATCCCAAACATAAAAATTATATAAAGAAATATTGAACTAGACATGTAAAAAAAAAAATTCAACCTACCTCCACATGTCAAATTTTGGTAGTTAATTCCAGGTAGCAATATGTAATATTTAATAATGGCTGATTGTAGCATTCTTCCATGGCATTGGTGGTATGTTAGGAAGAAATTTTTGTCATTCGGCAAGTAAAAGAAAAGTTTATTTTTCCACGGCTTTGTACATGCATTCTCATCAAGCATTTTTGGAGAAGATTTGTGAGTGGATTATATACCTAAACATAACACGTGTTGATATATAAATGAAAAAGTCAAAAAGTTGAAAAAGTAAACAAATTATTGCTGTGTGTATATATTTAATGAATCATGAATGGATGATCGATGCTGATAAGGAATAAGTTGTGATATTATATAAAATAGGAAACACATACATATATTCTCATTGCCTTTTAATTAATTATTATTTACAATATTTATTTTATTGATGACGAGTGCATGGATTGAGTAAGGTGACTTAGGATTACATTCTTTGTATTTTTGTTTCTGTTTTTTAACTATAATTCTTTTGGGTATTATTTATTTTAGATTTATTAAATTTTATATAGGATGAATCATGTATCTAATTAATTAGTTGTATGAGTTTAATAGTATATTAGGTTCATTCAATATTTGTTAATTATTGTAATGCTTTTTTACTTATTTATTGATGAAGCTTTATTTTTGTGAGAGAAATTTTCTTATGATTTTGTTTATTATTATTATTATTATTATTATTATTATCTTAATTTAAGGTGGAAAATAATCATCAATTTACCAATTCCTTTTTATTATGGCATCTACTTTGTTTCTCTCTTTTCTTTCCATGTTAAACCAAACAAAGTAAAAGAAATTTCAATGCTATTTATCATCTATACTTTTTCTAATTATTATTATTATTATTATTATTATTATTATTGAAATGAATTTATTTAGTTTTTAAATAAAATACTTTATTATTTTAATAGATGTGTAAAAGTGAGTTGAATTCTTTAAAACTCATGTTCATTTTTAATTTTATAATATGACCACAATGGATATTTTTGAGTTATTGGAATAGAAAAAAATAAAATAAAATTGTGAGTTCTTACTAATTTCAAAGAAAAATGAAGAAATAAATCAACACTGTAGAACTGCTACATGTGAATAATGGATCGGTGTAATGGGTTTTCTAGACCAATTAATGGGCCTCGTTGGGAAAATGGAAGGCTTTGTTGTTCTCAGTCCTGTATTTGTTAGGTTCACCCCTAACATCTTAAAAAGAAAGTTAAGAAAAAAATCTATGACGAAAATCCGTTTCTATTATGTTAAGTAAGCACCCAGAATCCCTATGAGGTTTCAGTGAACAAAAATGGAAGCATTCCATTATATATTGTTCTTAACTAAACACAGGATTTATATTAACTAAACTCCAAGCAGTAAAAACCACAAAATTTGCACTGGATCAATATTTCACCATGTTCAACGCAGGGTGAAAAAAATACCAATGTTTCAGATTAGGCAGAAACTTATCATTGAGCAATCAACACATGCTGTTTTCGCAACAAAAATGAACCTAGAGGGCTACAATTCACATTGGCTTATGTCAACCAAATGATACAAACATTAATCCTACAGCACCAAGAAATTACATAAAATTATTCAATTAACCCAATCCTTAAAGAAGAATCTCATTTAGTAAAGAACCAAAGGGAAAATATCAGGGACAAAGCATATCCTCTATAAGCAACAAAATAAAGTTCGTTATACTACTATAGCATAACTTCATTCATGGACTATAGATTAACAGCTTATCCTCTATAAACAACTTAACAAAGTTCATTTTGATTATATATTACTATAGTGTAACTTCACTCGTCAACAAAGCAAAAAAATGTTCATTGCAGGAGAGCTCCATAGTTCAACACGTACCAGAAAACCACAACAGCACGTTCTATAGTTAAGTCAGTACTATCTCATTAAACCATCAACAGCATTAAAAAACCCAAATACGGTCCATTATAGCCACTAACAACAGATTTTCTGACTGCTCAACGGATCAATTAAACACGAAACAAGAAACAGAAAACCTTTAGTAATTAACCCAACCAACTAACTAAGCACACTATGGATAACCTTAAAATACCACAAAAAAATCCTACCTACCAGAAAAAGAGAAAACCCCAGTTTAGAACCAAACAATACGTACATCAATCCAATCTCAGAAATGAACTAGCAATGACAAATTGAATTAACAAAATAAATTTTAAAATCACACTTTATACACCTCCTCCAACAAGAACAAGCACTGCAGCAGAAACACTTCCATAACCACAGCCACTATTGCGAGTTTATCCTCCCATTTATAATTAGGACAACACATAAATTGAGTTCTTTAGATGTTTTGGGTATTATTTTCCGGTGAGAAGTTAAGTTTCATCTCAACAATTATTCTAATAAAGGTTTTCATTGAAAATCAATATATATTACCAAGTAAAACTCAAATTCTAATTAGAGAGAATAGGACTAAAAACACCTAACAAACTGTATATAAGCTTTGTTCCTATTAACCCATCATTTCACCTCAGTAATCATCCCGACGCTTTACATTAATTCAACCTAAATTATTGAGACGAGACTTCATTTATAATCAAGAAATAATACCAAAACCACCTTGGAATTAGAGAGCAACAAAAAAAGAAACTTGAATAAATTTCATTGCAATCAAACCAACCCAAAACGAGGAAAATCAGTCACTCAGCGAACACAGTAAGATCAATCAAAGGGAAATCCATCAGAGACACAGAATCATAACCTCTAAAAATAACTTAACAAAGTTCACTTCCATTCATTGGCTATCATGATATCATAACTTCACTCATCAACAAAGCAAAATAATTGTTCATTGCATTAGAGCTCTATACCAACACTCCTCCGAAATCAACACCGGTCTCTACAATTCGTTCAGAACTCCCTCATTAGACCATCAACATCATGAAGAAATATTATAAAAAAGAAAAAATCAAATTCGGTTCTCTATAGACACCAACAAAACAAATTTACTCATTACTCAATCGACCAATTAACCAAAAACAAGTAATCTCGACTAATTAACCCAACCAACTAACTATACATCCTAAACACCACAAAACAAACAAAAAAGAACCCTACCCACCAAAAAAGGAGAAGAACCCACGTTTAGGTTGCTCCTCGACCACCACGGCCTGCATACTATCCTGCTCCACGAGCCTCCACGCGGCTTGCTCAAAGGCCAAGCCAGCCAAAGTTGGAGGCTTGTTGAGCACAAGAGGGTACCCTCTATTGGTGCTTCTGATAACCTCACTGTCCTCAGGGATAACCCCAAGAAGAGGTAAGCCTAGCATCTCTTGCACATCCAACACCGACATCATGTCCTCGCCCTTAATCATGTCGGTGCGAACCCGGTTCACGACCATCTTGATGTCCCTGATGCCGTCGCACTCGAGGAGGCCAGTGACGCGGTCGGCGTCGCGGAGGCTTGTGATGTCGGGCGTGGTGATGAGGACGGCCTCGTTGGCGGGTGTGATGGCGGTGATGAAGCCGGCATCGATGCCGGCGGGGCAGTCAATGAGGATGAAGTCGGGGGATCCACCGGGACGCGCCTTGAGCGCGTCGACGAGCCACGTGAGGGCCTTGCCGCCGAAGCCGAGGGGGAGCTTGGAGCGAGGCTTGGAGATGCAGAGGAGCTCAAAGTTGGACCAGCGCTTGTCGCGGACGAGGGCTTGGTCTAAGCGACAGTCGCCATTGAGGACCTCGATGACGGTGTAGTTAACGCGGTTCTCGAGGCCGAGGAGGAGGTCGAGGTTGCGGAGGCCCACATCGGCGTCGATGGCGACCACCGAGAAGCCAAAGCGGGCGAGGGAAAGGCCGATGTTGGCCGTGGTGGTTGTCTTGCCCACGCCGCCCTTTCCGGAGGTGATGACGGTAACGCGCGGGGTGGTGCCCGAGAGCTCGGGCTTCCGGTTCCACTGGAGGGGGGCGGAAGGGGGACGGGGTTGGGGGGTTAGGGTTTTGTAAGGGGGGCGGAGAAGGGGATTGGGGAAGGGGATGGCGCCGGGGAGAATGTGGAGTGGCGGCATTGGGAAGAAGAAGAAGAAGAAGAAGAAGAAAAAGAAAAAGAAGATGTATTTGAAGAAGATGAAGAAGAAGAATCAGTGTGTCTGAGTGAGTGAGGTAACACTGAAAAGTGAGAAACGGAAGATGAGGAAGTTGAGGTTTGGGTATGGGTTTAGTTTTCTTTCTATTTTCGCTTCTTCTTTCTTTCTTTACTTGTAAAGTTTTTTAAAATGTAATAAGTACTAATAACTACATTTGTATTTAGGAATAGTTTATTAGACTTTTGAGTTATTATTTTTTCAAACGGGCCTTTAAATTATGTCAAATAAAAAAGATGTCAATTTTGATAAACTATAAAATAAAAATGAAATGTTAATTTTATTTTATTTTTATAATGTTTTAAGGTGGATTCTTAATGTGAAAAATAATTATGGGTGTCCAGAAATCCTACTTTATTTTAATAAATTGTTCTTTTAAGAAGGAGATAGTATATTTTCATTTTTAATTAGATTTAAGAGTTATAATTAACCTATGAAAAATAGTTCTTACACTAAAAAATGTGATGAAATTCTTTTGAATTTTTTTTAAGATTAAATTAAATATTTCTTATTTTTTTTATAAAAAATTCATTATTATGTGACTGAGAAACTTATTTTATAACATAATTGATTCAATTGTCTAAAAAAAATTTTATTTTGAAAAATACATTTGATTAATTATAACAATTTTATGAGTATAAATAACCTGTATTTATCAAATTTAAAATTCAACATAGATCATTTCTATGAATATATATATATATATATATATATATATATATATATATATATATATATATATATATATCCTTAAATTCAATAAATAGTTATTTATTGTTATTCTTCTTTTATATGATAATTCCAATATTTGATAAGAAAATTATTGTTAATTTTGGATAAGAGGGTTAATTCGAGAGAGTGAAAAAAAAAATGAAAAAGAGAGATAAAAATTATATTGAGTGAAAAATAATAAAAAATATAAAAAAAATTATAAAAATTTGTGAGTAATTTGATAAACGTGAATGATAAAATAAAATATTTTAATAGAATAAATTTAAAAATGATTAAATTACTCCTTGATAAAAATTATTATTATTAAGATTTTAAAATATTATAAATATTAAATTTTTTTTATTTTAATTAGTAATATGAAAAAAAAAATTATTATTATTATTATTATTATTATTAAAATACCCTTGAGTATTTAGCTGTCTCATATGCAACATTTGGTTTGAGGATAATTTAGTATTTTTATAATTATATAGATCCTTTCCTTATCAAGGAATGATTTTTTAACAGAAAATTATCTCTTTTACTTAGAGAAACTCCCATGGGAATTTCAAAACTAAAATCTTCTACTTTATTCACAGAATGATATTGTACGGTACCAATAATTGATAACATTATTTACCCTTTTTAAAGTACATATTATGTAAGTTATTATTTATTATATGACTATATTAATATTTTTCAACTATCATTATTTTTTTTTCAACGTTATACAAAGTGGTCTAAATCGAATATGATTTTATTGATCTCAAAATAAATTATCATTAAGCGATCACACAGTCCAATTCAAATTTAATAGGTAAAACATAACACCTTTACGGTTAAATTTATGATAATAATATATCTTTTGTGAGGCATATTAGGCCCAACATTGATACGTTCAAAGAAAAATATAAATACTAAATTAAAAATATGGTTTTTCATCTAATTGGGTACTTGAGTGTTTTACTTTAATTGAGCCTGCTAATACTACAATGACAATTTTGTCTTTAAAGTTGGGTTGGACCCCTTTGGTTGAATTTTGAAGTGGGCTAATTATTCTTGTGGGAATTGGGTTGGGGTTTTGGTGAGTTGGGCCTCTTGGTGGAAAAGGAATTGAGGCCTTAGTCAAAAAGAATTCTAATTATAATAAATTGGGAGTTGTAATATATCCATTTATACCAACTAAGAGCATCACCTTTCATATAGAAGGAATCCATGTAAAAATTGAACTTCGTATCCTTTTGTTGAAACCAACCCCTCTATTTCCTTAGTTGAAACCAAGTAAATCACACCCTGATTAAGGTGGAGTGAAGATGTTGTAATTGAAATTAAATAAAATATTTTTCTATCAAATCTAGTTGATGATATCTTAATCAAAATTGGTGATGACCTTATATAATGTCTATACTAAATGACCTAATTTAAGTCTCTTTACCTAAAATTAGATTGAAATGATTTTGATCAAGCTTAATTAAGAATAATTTTATAATATCTTATATCATTGCTAAAATTAACTCCATAGTCTTTAACATGTTAAACAAAATAAATATAAAGATAAATTAATTAATTTTGAATCATTAAATATTAATGAAAGGATATATTTTATTTCATCAATATTTTATGCAAATAAAAGATTATATTAACAAGTAATTTAATTTATGGATTACAGTTCAATTCACATATGCCGAAATTTATCGGATTTCTTCACTTTAAAAAATCAAAATTGAAGAAAAATGAATAATATAATTTATATCTCGACTTCGTTTCCACCCGTTTTTAAATTTAAATTCTAAAATTTTAATATTTTTAAAATATTTTATTTTATTTTTCATATTATATATAAAAACATTTTTATATATTTCATATTTTTTACTTTTCTTTTGTCCATTTTTAACTCTTTTGTTTTTATCAATTTCTTAAATTTAATTATATTATTCTCTTTTTCTCATATTTAGTTTTTTCACATTTTTATAATTTTTTATTTTTTCCAATTTTTTCAATGAATTTAAAAACACAAAAATTATTTTTTCTTTATTTTTCTAAATATTCAACATCAATCTAACTAATAACTAATATTATTTTATTTATAATTTATCTTTATTAAATTTTATTATGTTATATTTTTTAGATTTTATTATTCCTATTTATTATATATACTTTTTTTTATAAAATAATTATATTAAAAAATATTAAAAAATTAATCATTAAAATTTTTATCATTTTGAATTAATTAAATAAAAATTAATTTATTAAATATTTTTTAATAAATTATATATTTCATATTTCTAAATATTTTAAAATAAAAACTTATAAAATAATTAATTATATAATTAAATATTTAAATACAATATTATAATAATAATAAATAATTTATATAAAAAAATATTAAACATTTCATTTACATACATATTTTAATATAAATATAATAAATTAAAATATATATTTAATTAATAATAATTATTAAAAAATAAAAAATAAAAATATTTATTTTTATATAAATAATACATTGAAAATATTAAAATTTATTTAATATAAATATAATTATTTTTTAGGAATGATATGTAAGGGGAATAAAAAACTTGAAACCCCACAAAAACAAAACAGATTCTAATCCCAACGAAAGTTAGAAACAGGGACAGATGGTTAAAAAGAAGTTGAAAATTTGGGAACACAAAACCATCCCGCCAACTGCCATGCGTATTTAACTCAAATATCATTTCCCTCAACGACTTTATATTCTTTTGTGATTAATATAAATGTTAAACTACTCATAAGGAATACTTATTTAAATATAAACAAGTCACTCACAACTATTTAAAAATTAAGTACCTAAAATTTAAAAATAAATTTTGTACTTTAAGATTTTAAAAATTATGTACCTAAAATTTAAAAATAACGTGTTAAAAATTCTACTAACTTATAAAACAATTTTTTTCTGCAGTTTTAATGTCTGAAAATTCAAGTTAACAATTAATGTTTTAAAATACAATTTGTAGAGATATTAAAATCCCCACATTTTTTTTCTTAAAGTTTATTTTATTTGACGTATGTGTTAAACATGTAAACACAATTTGCACTAAAGTTTTAGCAAATATTTTTATTATTAAATTTAGCTTCATTTAGAAAAGCGAACCGACTTAACATTTATTAGTGAAATATAAGTATTCTTATACTTCCATGATAAATAGAAAAAGGTTAATATAATTATTATAATAAAAACATTTACTTACGAATAAAATTATTATAGACGAAACATGATAATTAGGTAATATATTACTTAAGAATAACATTTGCTTTAGCGCATTTTAATAATTTTTTAAAATAAATTTTATTGAATCAACAATATAATTTTTTAAAATAGACAATATATTAAAATTAAAACTATAATATATGAACTGTATCGTTTTATGGTACAATTCTAAAATTAGTTTTAAATAATAATAATAATAATAATTTAACATTTATAATTCATTGATAGAAAAAGAAAAAAATTTACAATTTGTCCTCTAGAAGGGACCTACCCTTAACAACGACACCTCATATACCCTTCATGATAGTGCCACGTGCTCCAAATTATCAGTGACACGACACAGTTTCGTTTCTTGCAAAGTCTTACGTGTCACAAGAAGAAAAGTCATATAATCTAGAGTTCCCTTTCGGCATTTTTGTGTCACGTGTCGTTTCCTGATTCGTCCTTCACACCACTGTCTCGTTTCCTTTCTTGTGTAATCGGTTATTTTATTGTTTCTCTCGCTCTCGCTCTCTCCTTCTCTCTTTTTTTCCTCCGTTTTCTCTTTCTTGAAGCACAAAACTTTATCACTTTCTTCCCCTACCCACCTACGTTTCCTTCAGATCCAACCAATTCCATCGTCACCGGGGACACCCCTTTTCTCTATTCAGCTTTATCTCACTCCTCAACTGTGTCTGTCATAGGTGAAACCTTTCCTCTGCTCTCTATGCCATTCCCACAGGTTTGATTCGTCGTTTCCTGATTCAAAGCTTGTGTTTTTATTGCTGTTCTTATAATTTTTGTATTGTGGGAGGAGAGGGGGGGGGGTGTTTCCTTCTTTAATTTGGGTGAATAATGGGTGTTCACAATTTTATGGGATTTTGGATCTGTGTCTAAATTCTTTTGTGGAGTGATTGATTTTGGTGTTTATGGTAGATCTTGTGGTATTTGTTGATGGGGTAATGAATTTACTTGAATTTTACGCGTTGTCTGTAATTGGGTGGATCTGGTCTCTATAGGGTAATGAATTCGTTAGTTTTGGCTTGGTTGCAAATTGAATTGAGGGAGAAATAAAAATGGCGTTTTGTGCTCTTGTATATGGAAAATCAGCAAAACAATCTCAGGGCGAAATAAGATTTGGCCTCATGTTTTGTGAGTGTTTTTGTTCAGGCCAGTAATTAAATCTTGTTTATGCATGTTGTCTGTCACTAAGGGACAAGCTAGGTTATGTATGTGTTAGTTAAGTGATTCTTATATAATTTTGGCTTTAGGTTGTTAGGTGGGTGTGGTGTTGGTGGAGGGTGAATTTATAATGAATTGGCTAATAGTATCTCAAGTGCATGTTCACATTTGATAAGGAGTTTGCCTGCTTTTGAATCATTGGTTAATTGTTTATTTAGGACTAGTATATGTGTGACATATAGATGCAAGTATTTTCCATCAAAATTAAATTTCCAATCCTCCCAACACCTTTCATGAGTGAAGTAATTTTGTTAGTCTTAAAATGTATTGTCCATGAAGATTTTAGTCTAACCATGCTTAATATGACAATTTAAACTTAGCTGCTCCACTTGATTATGTGCTGTTTATATCTTTCCGCGAGTCTCTTAGTCTTCAGATGTTTAATTCTATACTTCATAGTGAAATTTGATTTGTTCCTGAGACATCTTTCATGCAATTGTTGACTTGTGTGTTTCATTTTGCCCTTCTAGTATATTTATTTATTTGTTTGGGGCTGTCTGTGATTCAATATCTGTAAATGAGTCGTGTCTCTTTTTTGTGAGCACTTACAGATTTTGATGATTCGCATGCTCTATGTAGCTTACTCTGCAGTTGGGAAGGGTGTACCCGAACACGAGTGTAATTGCAGCATACGGACATATTAATAGTGTTGTAGATCTGTTGGCTTTTTCAGGATGGGCAAGTGCAAGGGTTGTGGAAAGTTAGGAAGAATGAGGCCAAGTCATATGAGTGCTTATGAATTTTCTCTGATGCTGGCTCCTGTTGTTTCTGTTTGGGATTGTGTAGTTCGCAAAATGAGGTACTCCTACAGACCTGAGTGGGTGTAGTGGTTGGGAACGTATCAATAGTATTAGTCTTGATACTTCAACTAATTAGAATATATTTAGCATTACAATTAGGGAAAGAGTGGAAAAGAATTACAGAAAAAAAATGTATACAGCTCTAAAGAAATTCACTTGAAGGAACTCTCAAAGACACCACTTTAGTATTTACTATTTTAGGTGTAGCGAATTCTATGGATACCATGGCATGTAATAAAGGGCAACATGTGAGGAAGGCGAAGAAGAAGCAGGTGAAAGATGAGTTGGATCGTCTGAAACAGGCGGAGAAGAAGAAGAGGCGCTTGGAAAAAGCGCTTGCTACTTCTGCAGCCATTATTTCTGAACTGGAGAAAAAGAAACAGAAAAAGAAAGAAGAGCAGCAGAGACTCGACGAAGAGGGTGCTGCTATAGCTGAGGCTGTTGCTCTGCATGTTTTGCTCGGCGAAGACTCAGACGATTCGTGTAAGGTTGTGATCGATGACAGTGGGTGCAAGACCTGGAACTGCAACCGAAATCTGGGCATCTCTGTGGGTGGAGAAAGTGCTTGCATCCCTCATCTAGATGGTGGAAGATGGTCTTTTGAAAGAGTGGGTTGGGTCTCTGATGCATACAGATATGGTTGCAAGTGGGGTGCTGGTGAAAATGGTGAATGGTCATTCTCATCAGACCCTTTTGAGAAGAACGTGCATGAACCACTATATGAAGGTGCAGGATGGGGACCTGCAGGTTTCTCTGCTGATCTCATAGCAGCACAAGCAGTTTCAGCACTGCAGATTGCCGAGGAGGCAGATGAAGATAGGATTCTGTTTTAAGTTCTAAGGACATGCTGAGGTGATAGAAATTAAGAATAACTGTTTGTGGTGGTGACTGGATGAAGTCTTATGCTGTTTTGGTTGAAGATCGTGTATATATGCTATAATCATGAGTCTTGTCCACATGTCAAACACTCTCTGCTTCAGTTTGAACATGTAACATGTTCCAGCAGTGTGATCAATGTTTTATTATTTATTATCCTTTAACTGTATGTTAATGTGAAGCTTCTAATTTCCTGTGTGGAGTGACTTTTTGAACTCATTTCCAACAATACAAAAGCACTAGTGGACCCCCCTTAATTTTTATTCTACTACCATGTGCCTCTTGGATCATGTTATCTCTTTCAGGATTGGCAACTTGACACTTTCAACATTGGCATCTTGATAATAACCTCTCCCCTCTAAAATCCATCTAATATCTATGAAAAAAGTGGATTTGTAAATTTTATAATCGGTGAGTGTTGCCTCTAATCTTGATTTCTAGTATGAAGTTTTCTCTTCTAACTATAAACATTGTATAAATCAAAATATTTTTAAATAAGGTTATGCATGGACAATGTTAAGTAATTTTAGTTAATGTTTTAGGAGAGAAAGAGAAGAAAAAAATGATTTTTTTATATAATTTAAAATTAGTTTACAATTAAGAGATTTTTAGGAAAATTACATGAGAATGTTTTTATAAATTAATTAAGTTAATTATACATATTTTATTATTTTTCTTTTAAAAAAAGTTCAGAAGCACATCAAAATGATAAACCTTTTAGCTTTTAAAATAACTGGTTTCGAAGTCATATCAATTATGATTTTAACTGATCGACAGAATAAAATTCTGAAACAAAATGAGATTTAAAGCATTTTATTTTGTTGTTTAACTACAATTTTTCATAAACTGTTGAATTTTATAATAATTAATTTAAAAATCATACATACAATAGTTTCTCATTGTTTGAGATGATCATTAAATAAAGAATAGATTAGTTAGAATAAAATTTTGTACGGACTTATTGTGAGGTTGTGGTGAAATGTGACCATTTGGCTTCCATTTTCAATTTGGATTCATACCCATAATATGAAAAAAATAAGAACCAAGAAAATGATATATATATATATATATATATATATATATATATATATTATATCTTCAATCTTTTAAATTGTTTATAAGATGTGCTAACTTTTATACAACTCTATTTTACTAACTAATTATTTTGACAAAAAAAAAATGTTTTTTATATCAAATTCATGAGCCATAGTTGCACCTTGATCAGATGGTTACTAGTGCATGGAAAAACGCAGATACACGAAAACGGAAAGTTGATTTGCGAAAAATACAACACAAATGCACAATTCCTGGGATAGAACAAAAGGTTGTGACTTGTGAGAGAGCAACATTAATGTGAAAACTTGTGTCCAACATCGAATGAAGATTCACGTGAGAAACATAGTTTCTAGACTCTGCGTTGCTCACGCGTGGATTGCACCCCACATTGTTTCTTGTAGCTATATCACTGAAACCCATCATGCCAATGCCGCTAAGCATGAAGCCTCAGTTGTACACAAAGACATTAATCTATTTGGTTTGGATTCAACCACTTTCCATGTTGCCTGCCACATGTTTGAAGAGATGTCTGACCTAACTGTTGCTTCAGCAACGACCATAATTCAGGGCTTCGTTAAGCGGCACTGTTATGAAGATGCTATCCATCTTTTCTCGAAGATGTTGGCCTCAGAAATTAGACCCAATGAGTTCACATTTGGAACCGTGCTTAATTCCTCTACTTCACTTGGAAATGTTGTTGTTGGAAGACAGCTTCATGCTTGTTCAATGAAGGTTGGGCTCAGTTGTCATGTATTTGTTGGTAGTGCTCTTCTTGATTTGTATTTCAAGCTGAGTACTACAGAAGATGCCCAGAAGGCTTTTAAAGATACTGAACATCCTAATGTGGTGTCTTATACAACTCTAATTTGTGGGTACTTGAAGAGAGGGAAATTTGAAGATGCTCTGCGGGTTTTCGAGGAGATGCCTGAGAGGAATGTTGTCTCGTGGAATGCGATGGTTGGTGGGTGTAGCCAAACGGGTCATAATGAAGAAGCTGTGAATTTTTTTATTGGCATGCTTAGAGAAGGATATATACCAAATGAATCTACATTTCCGTGTGTGATTTGTGCAGCTGCAAATATAGCTTCTTTTGGAATTGGGAGAAGTTTCCATGCATGTGCAATCAAGTTTTTGGCCAAGGTTGATCAGTTTGTCGGTAATTCACTTATCAGCTTCTATGCAAAGTGTGGAAGTATGGACGATAGCCTGCTAATGTTTGACAAGCTTTATAGAAGGAACATAGTTTCGTGGAATGCCATGATATGTGGTTATGCACAGAATGGAAGAGGTGCTGAAGCGATAAGCTTCTTCGAAAGAATGGGTTCTGAAGGCTATAAACCCAATTATGTCACCCTTCTTGGGTTACTCTGGGCTTGTAATCATGCAGGTCTTGTTGATGAGGGCTACTTTTATTTCAATCGAGCCATGCTTGAGAGTCCCAATTTACTAAAACCTGAGCATTATGCTTGTATGGTTAACTTGCTTGCTCGCTCAGGAAGATTTGCAGAAGCTGAGGATTTTCTTAAGAGTGTGCCTTTTGACCCTGGACTTGGATTTTGGAAGGCATTGCTTGGGGGATGTCAAATCCACTCCAACAAGGAGTTGGGAGAGCTTGCTGCAAGAAAGATTTTGGCTTTGGATCCTGATGATGTATCATCATATGTGATGTTGTCAAATGCTCATTCTGCAGCAGGTAAGTGGTTAGATGTGGCAACAGTAAGGACTGAAATGAAAGATAAAGGGATGCAGAGGATTCCAGGTAGCAGTTGGATTGAAGTCAGAGGCAAAGTTCATGCCTTTCTTACTGCAGACTATAATCATGATAGAATAGATGAAACTAATTTGCTTTTAAATTTTTTCTGCGAGCATTTAAGGGAAAGTGAAGATTCCGATTCGTTCAACATTTATTGGTATCTCAGTTCTTAAAAAAGGGTGTTAAGTGATTTGGTTTTATACTATAGTTCTCTATTTTTTTGAACAATATGAGATTGGCCATAACTTGCTGTGAAGTACAGAACTTGAGCAGAATAATTCAGAGGTTTTAAGAAGAACATAGCCAATGCTAAGTGATGGTAGATCTTAATGACACTTTTCTTGATACATAAAACTTATTTTCAACCTCTCATGCTAACTTACCTGATTTCAGGCCACATTTTCTGCATCTTTAAATCCTCAGGTTTACCTGCAAAATATGCAGTGAGATTTTGAATTTGGCAATTTTCTGTATTTATGTGTATGCTAGAATGTGCTTCACATAACTGCCTTCTTCAATCTTATTTATCACCCAGCTAACATGGTAAAACTTTTAAGCATTTAAAGATTTCGCAAAGGGTACATGGTATAGCAGAAAATTTTGTTGTTAACAGAGTAATGAGAAGGAAATGGAATGGTTGTGCTTAAATGTGGTTTCTTGTATGTATATACTCAAGATACACATACCAACTTCTAGCTGGTAAGATCTTGTTTTAGCTTAACATTTGTGTATATTTCATAATCAATTTGCTGCTCTTAATGGGAAGCGGTGCAGTATTAAGGAAAGTTGTCTGATTTCCATCATAAAAATGATAAAATATCATCAACTTTGGAATTATTCTTGTTGATACGCCGCACCTTTATTTTACTGTCAAAAAATTTGGTCTAACTGAAGCTTTTCACTAGACGAACCACCAAATTGAAAACCTTATGCCTCATTTAATAGCATACACTTCACACGCTTGAAGAGTTAGGAACATTGGAACTAATAATCTTTTAGTCAAAGCTACCAACAAAAGATGCTATCTGCTATACTTTATAAATAAATAAATAAATATAATTGTATACTTTATGAATGAATCAGTCCTTAACGATGCATAGCTCTTCATCATATTTTAATAGGTTGTCTATTTACTTGTTGGTTTAATTATTGATCAAAGAAGAATACTATAATGCAGAACAGAACAGTTAAAATGCATGTTGTCCTTCTGTGGCTTTAGCAGTATATATTCACTTTGCAACATACTAGGTGTTGGTGGCTTTCCTCACAGTATTTTGTTGTTGTTAGTTCCTCGCTATCTGATAAAATTTAAACCATGGACACGTAACTTTTCAGATTGAAAATGCTACAGAGAATAAGAAGAAACAGTTGATATCTTCAATTTTGGAGCATCTTTAACGTTGGTGTTTCTCTCTTTAAATCCAAAAGAATGTTTAGCCTATTCACGAAGGTTTGATTCACTTGAAGGCCAGAAACTAGTGAGATTGAGTAGCTTATTCAAAATGCATATAATAAGATGATGGAAACTATATAGATTTAAGCTGATTCGAGTATGTTATACTCAAAATGCAAAGGAGGGAAGGATAAACATAGTCAAATATCACACCCGCATGGAAAAAATGGAAGTGTAAACTTTTATCTTAGGCCTCTTTGAAAGCTTTGGTTGACATTTACTTTGATCACCGAAAGATAGCCAGCATTTATTCAGTTCCTCAATGATGGAAAATGGCATAATATTACATTGTATATAAGAGAATCTAAACCATGAATAGAAGTCCAAAATTAATAACATAGAATCTTTTTTTTTTTTAAATCAAAGACTTCATGACATCCAAAAATTAACCATCCAAATATTACATGTTACAAAATTATTCCTATAATTCTCGTGTAAGAGTGTTCTGAATATATATATACACACAAAAGCCTACTTTATTCTGGTCAGGAAAGATTAAATAGTGTGCAACACTGTAGCATCACAGCAATGACAACTGAAAATAAAACATCTTATGCAACCAGCAACCACCTACATCTTATAAATATAAACTTCGTTGAGAGAAACAAAATTCATTTTACTATTACGTTTCAAAAGCAGCTAGTTTCTGTCTTCCTTATAATCGATTTTGAGATATTTTGATGCAAATAAAAAGTAAAAGAATAAATAAATACCCTTTAATCATGACTTAATTTTCTTGGGGAGTTCATAGTTCTCACGCAGTTGACTTGTGGCAATTGAGAAGAGGGGTCTACATTATCTTAAGTATATCGCACTATAAATTGTGGCATTTGTTTGATTCGATAGTGATAGTAAAATAAAACCTTAGATCTCTCTCTCTCTCTCTATCTATCTATATATATATATATATACTATTTTGCTGATTAGCTGTCTATTACTTTTGGAGGTATCAATAGGTTTGAAGAACCCATTATGCCTCAGCATAGGTTCAAATCCAATTTTTATGGATCAAAATTAACTGGATTCACTTAATCTATGTGCCAAATAAGTTCGAATAAAATAATGAGTCAACCCCAAAAGTACATCAACTCAAAATTTGTGGAGAACAACATTAGGCCAAAGTAGCAGAAGATATAGAATGGAGTCATGGTCAGGCGTTGTACCACCGCCAACATCAAACATGAATTAACTAAAAACTAAAGTGCACAGGTCGTTCATCAGTAACAAATGGGCACCAAATAAGATTTGAGTTGAACAAAAACAAAAATTTTACATTTGATACACAAATGAATAACATGTAAAATTTTGTTTACTATTTGTGACTTACAAATTACATTACACAGCTAAGCCTTGACAAACATCAACTATCGTGTGAAGATGGACTGTGCAGGAATGCCTTGTCATCTTCTCGCTTTGGCGGAAGAGGAGTAACTCCATTCTGATTCTCACCTTCAGAACTGGTAGACGGTTTTGCACCATTGGTGATCATATTTTTCAACCAAGTAGCTTGAAATCTAGGGGACCCTCCTCTGTTTGAATTGTTAGGGGACTCGGGACCATTCTTAACGTTATTAGTAACATTATTCGTAACACCTAAGAGGAACCGGTATGCTACTTTGCTTGCTGATACAATCTCGGTTTTAGCTTGCCGGAACTGCAAGGACCAGGCATCAGCATCAGTGCAACATAACAGTTTCCCAAAACACGTCAATACTAATAATAAGTAATAACTACTTGAAATGAAGTGTTCAAGCCAAAAATAAGCGCCAGGTTGTGATGAGCCAATTCCAACAAAAAGTTTATACAAGACCATATTGGTCGATCATGAACTTTGTTTCGTACCCGTAATGCAGTATTTCCAGCCACTTCCATAGCAGTATCACCGGCATTGGCAAACCTATTAACCCAACCTGTCATGGAAGCTGTAAGAATACCCAGTAGAAGATGGAAATAAACAGAAGTAATAATTCACCAGATGGATGGATCATTGCTTAAGCCATGTTCACTTTACAAATTAATTTAAAATGAGAAGTGGAAATTATCTATCAACCCTAAAATCCAATAAGTCACTTTCTTTGAGTGCATACCCAAGCATCTCTCACACTGCTGTAAAAACAATAAATGCCTTGATGAAACCATTTTCCTAATCCTAACTTCCTATCAATATATGCAAAAGACAGATATTTATATATTGAACTAAATAGATGCGTTCTATATCTACACCATAAAATTAGTTAAAAAGTGAATTCAATAAGATAACAAGCATATAACTATTCAATATGAATAGAGTTTCCTCAAATATAACTATTGTAGTTTGGGAAAAACAGGTTCAAACACAAACTTTACTGGTAAAGTCTAGCATACTGTCAGAAACGACTAAATGAAAGATAGAAAAACTGTATTCACAACAAATGTATTACAGAAGTAACTTCTGCAAGACCTACAGAGTTAAAAAGACCAATTCTACACTACTAATAAAAAGCATAAGATCTAACTCCCATCGGTCAACTATCCATATCTTAAATCAAATGGGATCTCCAATTTCCACTTCTATTTCCCATTTTGCGTCCCTGCATCAACTCCCTTTTATTTTTTCTGTTGTCTGACTTCCAAATCAAAAGCCCAGAACTGAGTTTCATAGGACAAACCAATTCCTGCCCAGGGCCTTACACATACCATAGAATTTATATTATGTGTTCCAAAATATCACTAGGTCATCTTTTAGGAAAAAAATAATGAACATTGTACAAGTATCATTTTTAGTTAGATATTTACCTGGAAGTTTTGGTACACCAAGCCTTTCACAGAATTCATCACAGAAGTGATTGCAGTTTTTGGCCAGCAGATCATATGAACTCCCTGGCCACTCTCTACTCAGTTCTCTTAGTATTTGATTCACCTTGAAAATAGAAAAGTTTGTTTTCCCAAGAACAATCGACTCCCGATATGTGTACATTGGATTCTTTCCAGAAGGGCAACTAAAAACTCCAGTACCTTGATCACAGAATCCAAATGACCATTCATCATCTCCATAAACCTGTCACAGCAGAACAAAAAATCTTAATATTTAAGCAGAAGATTTAAATAAATAAATAAATAAAAATCCAGTCTACCATGTGTCAAGGAAACAGAAGAGTGTCAATGAAAAAAAAAAATGGACCAAAAGATGTAAGCATACAACGTGCACAGATAAAAAACAACAAATATGAGGGTGACAATTTCTGTCTAAGCCGGATAAAAATATAAATGAAGAAAGTTGTATCACCATATTTCCCAAGTAGAAGTCAGTAAAAAATATTTTCCATTTCAAACTGAGATAAGTTCCTTTTGCAACTGAAGGGTGAAATTAAACAACTGTATTCTTCATGATTTTAAAATCTAAAGGGAAATAATACAATTACATCTTAAATACGCAATTAATAAAAATGGTAAGAACTTCACGTTTTAGTTTACAGAAACTTTTGCTTGGAAAGTTATTGGGTGGTATTCAACGCCCAGAGGGTTCAGCATTAATCATGCCTAAATAATTCCTCCTAAACTCCTCTATATGACATACAATAATGCAATCACACTTCCTTCTATTAAACTAAAAATACCCAAACTAAGATATCACATGACTGGTTCAAGCCAGCGCCCAGATATACCAAATGACCAGTCCATGCCAACTCAGAGAAGGAACTTCTAAAGCAACTAAGCTAGAAACACATATTTATAACACCACCAAAATTACCTGGGTGTGGGTGTCAGTCTGTGAATCAATGCAAACAAATGATGACAAAGATTTTCTTTCAAATTGAAAGAAATATATACACAGTCACAACTGTTGCAGCCATATTATACATCACACATATAGCCCGGCCCAATCTTACTTTTCTCATTCACTTCAGCATGATCTCTACTCTCACACCACAACAGTTAACTAGTTACAACGATACACTCCACAGAACCTTAAAACCCCTAATACAATAAAGATAGAAACAACAAGAAGCAGCATCCAGTATATCTCTAACATACAAGTTAACACCTGCTCATTTTAACGGCATACATATAATTCATACATGGTGAAGAATGAAAGAATATCTACTACACCGTAGATATACGAGCAAAATAAAAAAACTCATCATAGCTTACATGACTGAAAATCACTTAGGCACCAAGTTAATTTCTGTTTCTCAAATCTCAAATACACTGCTTCATGCAAACAAAATCCAAGCTAAATGAGTGGGGTAGAGCATCGAAACCCCAATAAAACTAAATGAAATTCCAAGGCTAGCAGTAGTGTCACACATTGGACAGTTACACAAACCCAATCAACCTTTACATACATACACCAATCAAGTTCCCCACAACATATAAGCAAAATACAACCTAGATCCAATCAACAGTGAATCCTCAAACAATAACCAACAGAACATGAATTTCTTCAAAGTTAGGGTCGGAACAAAACCTGCACGGCGCTGTGGAAAATGCCACCGAGACCAATCCCATCCTTGAAGATCTTGTTGATCTGAACAATGGTGTTATTGGTTTTCTCCGATCCACTATTCGTCACATCGTATATATGCAGTACCACATCCGTCATCTTCCCTTTCACACCAGCCACCCACAACAACAAACCAAAACCAAAACTTTCCACAACCCCACTTCACCTTTGTCTCTTTAAAGGCTGTTTACTATCTGATCTTCTCTCTAAAAGATTCGAGAATCAACAACAACATCAACGACGGGTGTTGTTGTTCCTCTCCCTCTTCGTAAATTGAACCGAGATTCGACCTCGGGATCCTGGAAAACCCTCCAATTTCACCATCCAAAATTTCTCGACAGAACAGAAAGATTTTCGGGTTTCTCTCGTGGATTTATTATATTCTAGAAGGAGGAAACACAACGAAGGGAGAGTGTGTGTGTAAGAGAGGCCAAAGCTACAAAATGAAAAAAAAAAAATGAACAACAGAATATGGAAAAGAAAATGGCATGAAAAGACGGTTTTGTTCCTCTGAATTGATTAAATTATAGGAAACCCTAATGCCTTTACAGCTGGCTGCCACTGTGGGATGTGTTTGGTTAATGATCAGTGAGAGAGTTGGGAATTGTGGGCTCCACGACTCATGTAAGCCATTATTAACGGTCACACAAATGGGCCGCTGGTGAAGGGCAAATGACACACTTACCCCTCTTCTTTCTGTTGCAAATTTTGAATGTTTTGACCTAAAGGAGTTTGTTTCCCTCTATTAGGAGATGGCTGTGAGTTTTTTTTTTTTTTTTTTTCACTAGTTTATTATAATTATTAATAAAATCTGTATATTCGCATTTCTACCATATTAATTTTAATATATATTATTATAATAATTTATTTTATTAGGTCTTAGTGGATATAAAATATAAGTTAATTAAACAATATGATGAATTAATACATATCTAAAATTAATTATTATTGTAATTTTGTTATTAATTTTTAAAAGCTGTTTGGGTATTTCCAAATAGTTATTATCTATCCTTATACATTAAAAAAAAATCTTTATAAGAGCTTTAAGAATAATGGATAAACATAGTTGTATGCATTAAGATAATATTTTTGTTTTAATTATTAACATTTATTAATTAGCATTAGACCAAATATATTAAAAGCTATGCTATAATTATAAATTATTACCAATGCAAAAATAAGATTAACTATATTTAACAATTGGATATGGACCACCAAAGTATTATTTATTCATTAATTGTTAAAATTAATTAATTTAATATTTCTCCTCGTGATACATTAATGAATATAATAATTTAGAAGTCTCATAAGAAATCAACTTGAAATAAATAACAGTAACTTATTTATTGCATTATATTGTATTTTTCTCGATCTTATATAAATAATATTATATTTATTATATTAATAACCTATTATTGTTAATAAAAGAATTATAATGTTAATCAACATCAGCTGTAAATTTTATCATTCTTTAATTTATAAACATTTATTATAATATTTAATTATAGTAATTAAGGTGATTGAAAATATACTTTGATTTATGAAGAAATTAAAACATTAAATTTTAAATATATTTTATTTATATAATATGCATGTTAATTTTGTATATATTCTATAATTAGACATTTTTTATTTGTTTATAAAAAATTTATATTTAATTATAATGATAATAGGTTTTTTATTTAACTATATATTTTTTAAAATTTAGAATAAATATTCTTTTAATTTAATTACTTTTCATTTGTTAAATGTTTTATTTTAATAAAATATTTTAAATATATAAATTTTTATTTTTTATTTAAATATAGTAATTAAATTTATTTCAAAATAAAATTTTACTTTAAAATATAAAATTCTAATATTAAACTTTATCAAACATAAATTTTACTCAATTTTAAACATTTAAATAATTAAATATATTTTTAAATTATAAATTTATTAATTTTAAATATAAATATGCATTTTTTATATTAATATTTATTAAAATATAAAATTATATTAGTGGACTTAGTGAGAGCATATTCTTAACTAGAGAGGTTCATATGCATTTGACTCTTCATAATAGGTAACAACCACATTAAACATGAATATTAATTTACTAAATTTCAATTATTTAGGAGGGTGAGAGCTTAGGGTTATAAGAGAGAAACGTGAAGAGAGCAAAGAGATAAAGCTTAATAGAGTGAGAAAGTGAGCATATCCCATGATATATAATAATATTATATTATCAATAAGTTTTTATTTGAAAATTTGAAAGTTATGATTTTTTTTTAATGTATTTTACTTTTAACTTCTAATATATATATATATATATATATATATATATATATATTTTTTTTTTTTTTTTTTCTTTTGAGAAGAAGATATTATGAAAATATCCCATGATATATAATAATATTATATTATATAAGTAAATATAATTTTTATTTATCAGACTAATTTTAAAAAATTGGGTTAAGTATATTAACATTAAGAACATAAGAAAAATGCGTATCAAATACCATTCACAAGTTTTTGTTTAGTAGTGAAGCTTAGAGAGGAGTTTATAACAAACTACTATTGTCTCCACATTGCAAAAGTTAGCAGCATTGTGCAGTGTGTTTGCCTTTTTGACCGAGAGAGCTCAGAAATCCACACAGAGAATAACCTCTTAAATGGTGGCAAAGGCAAAATGGTGGAAGCCAACCTTACTAAGCATCCCAATTTTGATCATGTAGGTGGCCCTACTTTATTAGGAATCTTATTTTTAATTGGGGGTAACAGTAATTCAGATGGCCCTTTGTGTGTGTGTGTAAAGTCTTCTATGCATCATTCCAATCTTATCTGAAAATATCCTTCTCTTTCTGTAAAGTGGTAGTGGAGTGAGAAGAAAATGGAGGTAAGGCAATTACTTCAATAATATCTAGAATTGAATAAGTATTCTTTGACCCTTTTACCTGAAAAAGAGATTTCACAAATTCTTCAAGTGAACTACATGGGCGGTTGTTGAATTAGTTCGATTGACATGCCAAATTTAAACATGTTCATTAGATGGTAAATATCTTCTCTTATATTCTTGCTTGACAAATATTCGAAAAAAAGAGTGAGAATGACACAACAGCATGTGAAATGTAGATGCAGCTTTGAGTTACATATTCCTGACAAATATTCCAATGAGAGTCTGATCCTATGAACCTACAGCATCTCTTAGCAAATAACTTACTTGAGTTACAACTGATCCGTGAAACAAAAGAATGGAGTATATGTTGAAAGTCTTACATCGCCTACCTCATATTATTTAGTATGGTTTAAATACAAGTTAGGGTACTCCACATATAGCCAATTGGTTTTATGTTGGAACCTTAACATGGTATCAGAGCCAAAGCCTAACATCTTTCCGGTTATTGTCATGGGCCAAAAGTTGCCCTTTAGTTGGGTCAAAAGTACCATTTGCTTGGTCCGGCAGGCTTCGTTGGAGGGAGTGTGTTGAAAATCCCACATCGCCTACCTCATATCATTTGGTATGGTTTAAATACAAGTTAGGCTACTCCACATATTGCCAATTGGTTTTATGTTGGAACCTTAACAATATATTTTTTATGATTATATTTAGGAAGGTGGTAGCCTTGAAAACAATTTTTCACACAGACAATAGAAACTCACTCTATCGCCCCATTAGCCTGTTAATTACTATAATGAGTCAGTGTCAGTGTGATGAATTCATATTGAATGCTTCTGTAAAAAATATGATCAATACGTTTAGAGTTTGATCTCTGTTCCCTCATTCTGCTAAATAGATGTTAAATTTCCACGCAAGAAAAGGTGGGTTTTTATTCATTTTCTATGCTTCAAGCTGAAAGTCCTCCTCCATGAGGAAGTGTGTTAGATTAACACCATTAATATGCTTATGCATTGTCCTGGTCAGAGGATAAAACAATGTGATAACATTTCCTATCTATCCTCTCTTAAATCACAATGGTGAAAGCCATGTATGAAGAAAATGGTGCATTTTATTTTCTCCAATGAATTCATAACAGGCCAAAATAAGTAAATAACAAATTTTGAAACAATTATGATAACTACTTTACTTCATGCAAATTCATTAAGTTCAACTTCATCTGTCAACTAAAAGGAGGAAACTTATAATCATGAAAGCTATTATTATAGATACTTTGCATCTCTTCAATGTCAGACATCATTAAAATAAAGATTATCCAAACATATGTAAGAAACTATAAATGACTCTTGTTTATCACTGCCTTCCATATGCAAATGTTAATATTGGTTTTGGTGCAATTTATTTAACAAAAGAAAAATTATAAAGAAAATAATCATCAAAGCACAGGTACACCTTGGTACCTATATTTCCATGTGAACCTTTCTATAATACATCATCAAGTGTTGCCTCTATTTGCAGAACATTTCTCTCTCTATCTACCTTCACTCTTCATTAGTTGAGAAAAAACTTCAGTAGCACTTACATCTGAATAACCATTATCATTATCTCCCTCTCTTCTTATGTTGCTAGGACTTCCAGGAGTTATTGTAGTTGGCACATTCACTGTTTCCTGAGCACTGCTATCATCATATGGCTCCTCTTCTTGTTCACTTTCTTGGAGCTGAAGTGCATATTCCAAATTCCACAATACAGAACCCATAGTTGGCCTATCAACGCCATATTCAGCTAAACATTTCTCTGCTGTTTCACCAAATTTCTTCAGTGAGCTTTGCTTTATCTTCCCAACAAGATAAGGATCAATAATATGCTCCAGCATGCCCTTTTTCTGCCATTCAAGTGCCCATTCGGCTAAGTTCACTTGTTCTCTATCAAGTTGAGGATCGACAGCAGCTCTGGCACAAAGAACCTCAAAAAGCACAACCCCAAATGAGTAAACATCTGACTTATCTGTAAGCTGCTGCCTTCGGAAATACTCAGGATCAAGATAACCAAAACTTCCTTTCACACCAGTACTCACATGGGTTTCATTGAGACAAGGTCCAGATCTTGAAAGACCAAAATCAGCAACTTTGGCGACATAGTTTTCATCCACCAAAATATTGGTTGATTTGATGTCACGGTGTATGATTCCTTGCGCGAAACCGGTGTGTAGATAGTGAAG